CAATTCCAAACAAATTCAATATCAACTGCCAATTTTCGTCTCAAAGGAAAAAAGCAGCAACGGGCCCGATGACAGCTGGAGTAAAACAAAATCGTGCAGTTACATGAACAGCTTGACTACAAAGCTTTCATAAACACAAGTTTCCCATGCTGAGATCATACCTTCCAGAGAATAACAATAGGTTTGAACCAGATAGCAAGCTCTTCTTTCCAACCCCCTACACTTAGATTGGTATAATTTCAGAAATGACAAGTTCTTTGATGGAGTTTGGGGAAAAAAAAGCGCCTCTGAGGGATGAGAGACGAGGACCCCAGAGCCCAGGAAACATTCGGCTGTTCAGTTTCCCACACTGCGAACACTCATCGTCTCCTCTCATGAGAAATCATGAGAGAGAGAGGATGAGACAGGAAAGAGACAAAGAGAGGGGGAAAACAAGAACTGAAAGCAACTTCTTCTCTCAAGAATTTGGCTCTTGTCAAGTAAACCGAGGTCAAACTTCTTAACATACTGTAAATGCCCATTAGCTCCAAGTAAAACAAGCTTATTCCTGACACATAAATAACCGTCTGTACAAATCTTAAAGGAAGATAGTATTAAAAAGGCCACATTGTATTCTGGATAGTGTGCGCCAGAATTTTCCCAGATTTAAACAATTAGGAGACAGATGTTCGACCAGCCCTTTTCCATGAAAACAGAAGTGAAAACAAGGAGAGCTCCTGATTAACGCACAAGGACAGCATATGATTTCAGTGGCGTTACAAACTCAAAACAGGAGAAAAATGAGCTCTTTCATTTTAATAGTTTAGCATTTAAGTATGAAATTGAAGATGAGGCAGGCATCGAACACAATATGATGCAGAGTAAAATGCAAGGCACGGATTGACAGTTCGCAGTAAACACTGCAGATTTCTTCTTTCTATCAGTGAGGGAGGAAATAGGGCATGATAAGGGCCATTCACAAGCTCAAGTTAATGAATCACTCACTGCTGTAGTTTATCAGATGAAAGGAAATTCTCACCCTCCACAAATGCTCCCAAGAGCATTCTGGAGAAAAACTTTATATCAAATGCACTTTGCCAATTCAGGAAGTTGGAAGTAACAAGCTAATAGAATTAAGAGCTTTTTTTTTCTATCAATGCTGCAAAAAATATACACCAAAAACTTTTCACAGCTATAATTCCACATAAATTCATATAAAAACCAATGCACTGACGACAGTCACATTTAAAGAAAGACATCTGTTAATCTACTTAAATATCGACAGAGCATTTATTGTGCATTTTTAATGAGTCAATCAAAAGGGTTCACAAAAAAAATGTCATGCGAACTTACATGCGAGCTAGCTGTTTGAATCAGACTCACTCTGTAAGTGAATCATTCGGATCCAAATTCCAATACTGAGGTCACAAATCGACTCACTCGCTAAACTGAGAGTCATTTTCGAAACAAACTTGGTTTTATCTATTGGTTATTGATTGAATGCAGGCAGATCTGAATGCGATTTTACAGTCGATTATATTTAAGTTAATTGTAGAATCTGGCATATGTCACCAGAGAGAAGGCTAAGGCCCTGTCCGCACGAATGCGGTTATTTTTTAAACCGCAGCCTTTTCTACGCGGTTAGGCCGTTCGTCCACACACAAACGCAGCACCAGTTCACTGAAACCGAACATTTTTGAAAACGCCTGACAGGGTGAAGATTTTCAGAGTTTTTGGCTTGTGACGTCGGCGCCTGTGCGGTTATCTCCGCCTACTGGAGACTTTTTCAGGCTTCTGATTGGCCAACATGGCTTTACGGTTGAGATTATATCGCCACCTGTTGGTTTGGCATGCTCTTGACAGTGCTTCATAGCATGCGTTTGCGTTTTCATGTGGACGGAGATTTTTTTAAAAACGGAAGAAGGAAAAACTCCGTTTATAAAAATACCCGTGTATGTGTGGACTTGGCCTAAATTAAAAAATTATGAGGTTGCATATCCAAGGATGAATTGTTCGCAATAAGATTAATAACATGCATTTAGGAAAAAAGGAGAGGGAATGAACAATTCATTTTCATTCCATGCAGACTTGAATTCGTAATAAAGAAATTAAAAGAAATAAATACTTTTATAACAAAGACAGTAAAACATTATATACTTTACAAGGGTGTACAAGTAAATATTCTATGGCTGACTAAAAAGTCCTTGTTTTAGGCCCCAAGTATAACATCAATGCCTAAGACAATTCTGGAAAAACAACCTCCTATCTACAGAAATATAAATTGGCACTTCTAGCTGGGTATAACACAGTATAGCTAAATTTATGTCTGCAATCCCTCTGGGCTGTGTCTGACAAGTAGACCATTTGAAAACAGACAGCATCAACAATTTTCCATTAACCTGACCATTCTTTAAACCACCACATTATATCTATTTGCCTGTACAAGTTCAGATGCATATGTCTGCAAGTCTTCATTAGCCGGTGTCTGGATGATGATTCACATTTCTCAGTCTCACGCATTCTTGAAGCTTGACAGGCCAGCCAGAACTGGTTAATAAAGAACGAGTGTGGGACATACAGAAATGTTCAATAGTAAATCTACCCTCCTCATCTGTCCTCTCCCCCCAGGCCAGGCCAAATCTCCACGCTCTCTAAGGACTCAGCAGTGTCAAGTTAAGACATGCCTGCTTCCGCCTCGACCATCCCAATGAAGGCAGAATAAACATGAAAGCCATCAAAGGCAGAGCACATAAAATAAAAGCTTATGGCTGGGACCCAGACTACTTGTGGGTTCCCACCTACGGAGTCACTTTGGAAAAAAAAAATCATGGAAGAAGAAAACAAACAAGTTTCAAATCAACAATTGTGAATCTTCTCAGATATTTTGGCTTCAGTTCTCAGTAAGATGTATAAAAAGAGATACGCGTCCACTTCAACCCATCAAAACGATGTATTTTTGAGCAAATTTTGAAGTACTGCATAAAAACACTGTTTGGGAAAAATGGTCAAAATGCATATTAAAAATTCACGCTGTTTTAATGACACGTTTCAAATGCAAAATGCCTAAATCAACAAGAGAACTAAAGTGAATTAGAAGAAAAGGTGTCTGACTGAAAAGGCCCGTTGTAGACCATGTGCTAACAAATGGCTGCTAATTAGCCAAGTGTATGATAGAAAGAATAAAAGCCAAATCACTTCCTCTTCCATTATCTAAATGCAAATGTCTTATTGACACCCTGATTACAGCTCACTAGACATGCTTATTACTTGCATTTTGGTATATAGCTACTGATTCCCCCTACTGATTGGGGGAAGTCGTGGCCTAATGGTTAGAGAGTCGGACTCGTAACCCAAAGGTTGCGGGTTCGAGTCTCGTACCGGCAGGGATTGTAGGTGGGGGGAGTGAACGTACAGCGCTCTCTCCCACCTTCAATACCACGACTGAGGTGCCCTTGAGCAAGGCACCGAACCCCCAACTGCTCCCCGGGCGCCGCAGCATAAATGGCTGCCCACTGCTCCGGGTGTGTGTTCACAGTGTGTGTGTGTTCACTGCTGTGTGTGTGCACTTAGGATGGGTTAAACGCAGAGCACTAATTCCTAGTATGGGTAACCATACTTGGCCACATGTCACGTCACTTTCACTTTTTTTTCGCTTTCACTGATATAGCAGCATCTACTTGGGAACGAGAAGCTACAGAGGTCATTACGTTACTCCTCTTTTCCCACAGGCAGAAGAACCTCCTCCTGCAACCCAATCATTCTGCTTATGCTGGAAGAAATTCAATGATTTGCGTAATATGCACAACTTCACCGCCTAGTAGAGAGGTCACTCAATGCCAGATCTAACAGAGGGTCTATATTGTTGTCTAAAACAGCGATTCTGAACCCAGAGTAGGCTATGTATCTTGTATGATCTTCTTAGGTAAGCTTTCTCCTTGATGGCCCCCAGAACTGAAGAACAGTAAAGTTTGAGCTGTATTTAAAAGGTAATGATTGTTGCTAAATGACATCTAGTATATGATAACAAAACAATACAACAAAAAGTTGAACCATGATGATTAGAAACACGCAGATTTATTATTGCCTAAAGCTATGAAATATGAGTGATGACTGAGTGATCGCTATTAGTAGCATAATGCAGAAAATTAGCATTGCCATATGCTTCACATCTGAGCAGATTGAAAAAGTGGACAGATCATATGACCTTAGAAGTAAGTTAATACTACATATTTAGTGGATACTATTATTTATTTATGAGACACTAGCATGTATTGTCTCACTACAACTGCCTATGCTAACAGTTTACAATAAGCCTAATTTGTGCATTAAATATAATGCATTATATTGAGCAATGTATTTTTACAGCATTTATTACATGTTGATTAAAAAAGTTGTTACATTTTGCAATTAACATTTATTAAATGCTGTAGAAGTACTGTTCATGTTAGTTTATGTCACCTAATAAGATATTATTGTAAAATGTTACCTTGCTTTTTTTCAACTTGTCATACACATTGACTAGTCAGAATGGCTACTTAATGGTTTATTACTACTTTCTAATAAGATTAATAACACAATCTAACAAATGGAATAGATACGAGCAACCATCCAAAAAGTAACTAAGAAATACATAAGGAATAGTAACTAGTATGACTACAATGAATAGTAACTAGTGATGGTGGAATTGGTGTTAACAACTATTGGTTACTAGTCAAACGTGAATAGTTAATATCTGAATCACAGATCTCTATAGATTTCAATAAAAAACGTAATTTGTGAAGTAGTTCACAATGAAGTAGTTACTTGTCACTATCAATAGTAGATTGATACATAAATACATACTGGTGGTGACTAACTTTAATGACTAGTAGTAATGAATAGCTACTAAAGAAACTGAGATGCTTAAAGAACACATGCTAAATCGACTTATCACAACTCTGGAACTACTTTTATTCACAGCGCAGCAAACCAAACAAGATTTTTGTGACTCTGAGACGAGAATACAAGAGAAAGCTGCTTACCCAGGTGAAGGGTCAGGTTGATGGAGTTTGGGTACTGGATGCCCGCTAACATAGTCTGACTTTGCCACCAGGTGGTATCCGCTTGGTTGTTGTAATCGGTGAGATAAACAGAGCCGTGGTGGTGTCTGGGGTCTCCGGCGTCGCAAATGTGGCATGATTTTGTGACTCCCGTTACCCCGGTCTGTACACAGTACTCTTCAGGCGGCGAGCCGCAAGTGTTGGTGGCCACTACGGTTACATTGAAAGCGGCGTTAACAAACTCTGGCATGCAGCGCTGAGGCCGATTGAACTCGTCTATGCATTCATCCATCGCTCCGTGACTGCACGCTGCCCACAAAGTCCATAATAACAAACAGCTAAAAAGCGACATTGTGTCCTTTTGTTTATGCGACCTCAAGTAGCTACCGTCACTGTCTTGATCCCTTAAATCCTCGCAGTCTTTAAAAAGTTTGCAGTAACTCGCCAGCTACCGAGTTTGTGGTTTTGTAAATAAACTCATGCGGAAAATGGTGGTAATCGCTTCACCTCCAAAAAGCGATAGTTGTGGCTTAATCTCCTCGCGACTTCTCTCTTGCAAACCTTCACTTTATTACTGCTTTGTAACCACAGTCATGGGAAAAAAAACTTTTGGAGAAAAGGAACTGTATCCGACTACACCCTGGCAGCTAGTGCGCAAGTCAAAGTACTTCCAAAAAAAAAAAAAATCCCTACGTCTACTTCCGCCTGAAGGATGCTTTGATGGACCGCCGACCCGCTAAACAAGGCAAGTCCAAATGGACAGGGATGCATGAGTGGGCGTGGCGAAATGGGTATGGGTGGAATGGGCGTGGCTTTGCGCTTTCCCAATTGGTCAGTTTCCCAGTCAACTCCAGGAGTGGGTGGGGCCGGAATTTCATACCTCACAGATTCTCAATGGAGCGATGAACTGACCACTAACTATCCGTAAATAGATAAACAAATATGTGTTAAACCATGGCTTTATTCGCCATCAGAAAAATTCTCTCTGTCAAATAGCTGTCCATATGCAGGCAGGCAGTTATGTACTTAAAGTTTTAATCATTTAAAAACTTTATTTTATCTTTTATACTGTGGTATCTTCAAAGAGACATACTTTCTGGATGAATCCCCCGTGCTATGAATAACTAGGGGATGATAGCTGTTGCTTGCTGTGAGCAGTGGGGTCAAAGAGCAAGGTTATTTAAACCTACTCTTCCAGGCAAGGGTGTATCCGAAAACTTTAAATAGCTGAGTGTTACGTTTTGTGGGCTGTTTATTAATATTTTACCAGCATTGTTTCTAAGATGAATAGAGAATCATCTAAAAGTTTGTCCCACACTTACCTCAAAATCAAGTGTGTTATATCTTACCTCAAAATCAGCTTTTAGTTTTTTATGCAGCTAGAATATTCAAAGCCTTCATATAATTAACTAGCAATAAAATAAAAAAAACACCGTTAAGATTGCAATTCTGGCAATTTGTTTTCCTGTATCCGAAAACTTTAAATAGCTGAGTGTGACGTTTTGTGGGCTGTTTATTAATATTTTACCAGCATTGTTTCTAAGATGAATAGAGAATCATCTAAAAGTTTGTCCCACACTTACCTCAAAATCAAGTGTGTTATATCTTACCTCAAAATCAGCTTTTAGTTTTTTATGCAGCTAGAATATTCAAAGCCTTCATATAACTAACTAGCAATAAAATAAAAAAAACACCGTTAAGATTGCAATTCTGGCAATTTGTTTTCCTTTTTTTTTAAATTCCAAAATCATGTGTGTTATATATTACCTCAAAATCTACCTTATTCAAAAAAGAAAAAAAGATCCACTGTAGGCAAATTCAAAGGCTTCACAGAACTAACTAGTAATAAAATAAATTAAAAAGTAACAATTAGTAATAGTAATACCAATAAATAAACAAATAAATAATAATAAATAGTAGCCTAATAAAAATAATAAATAGTAAAAATATAGGACTGGCCATTTGTTTTTGTTTTTTTCTCCAATTCATAGCTATCGTAATGAACTGTCTTTTCTTTTGCATTGGATATTCACAAATAAAGTTTGCCCGGTGGATTGATTGGAAAGTGAGAGCTGGAGTACTGAATGATCTGAAAATGTGTGTGTGCTATTGATAAGAACTATAGCAGATACTGTATCTGATACTACTCTATGTGAGTGTCTCAGATTGGCAGCGAGCATCATCAGATCTAGTCTTCAGACGCATTCCTTTAGATAACGCTATAACGATTTAATCAAACTGTGATCAAAGAACAAAACTTTGGTGTTTAACAAGACAATCAATCATCACCAACCATGGAGATAAATTGGTTTAATAGCTCTCTAAATAGGATAGAATTGCTCTGTTGGAAAGAAATTGGTTTAAATTTCCCTTCACAAAAATGACATTACGGCCTATTTAAAATGCTAAAAAGCAAAGATATGCTTATACATTTTTGAGCTAAGAATCTTGACATCTAGCAATACTATAAAACCTCTGACCTTGCAATCAAGTCAGCTCTGTACTAGACTTCTGTCTATCCATCAGTAGCCTAGTCTTACTACATCCAGGACAGGGGAAATGAGGGCTAGATTTATCCCTATATGTCAAAAAGAGAAATGAGTGTCAACACTTTGTCAAATACTAATTTCTGCCCCCCGTACCGCTGCATCAAGCTCAGGCATGTCCAGGATGTGCATTGTCTCACTGCTACCTTCAAACTTTAAACACATTCATCAGCAATTGTTCTCTAAAGACACAAGAGGTAGCCTATGTACTCTCTCATCTTACCCAGAGGCTACGACTATATTCTTCTCAGAGATATTTCACACATTCTCTGGAATTTTGCTGTGGTGTCAGATTTGCTTTTTTGAGTAAATCAGATGAGAGTAATGCTTTATATAAAAATGTTAAAGTAACAAGTCAAGGAGTTATGGAGTTTAAGTGTGTACAGAATTTGTGGTTATATTTGCAATTACACGCTGAAACACAATTATATTTGAGTGTAGATTAGTCAATTAATAAAAAAAACATACAAAACAAAGCAATTAAATACTTTTTTTACACGCTGAAACACAATTATATTTGAGTGTAGATTAGTCAATTAATAAAAACATACAAAACAAAGCAATTAAATACTTTTCAAATCATTAATGGTAGCATCCATAGATAGACTCAGATATAGATATAAACCAATCAGATATAAACATACTCTGCTGCGGGTTTAAAGCGCCCTCTGTCGGTAATCATTAGCAAAGAATCACGATAAGCGCCAGATATGAAGTAATCATCTAAATTAATTATATTTGTAGTTTAAGCATATATCTAATATATATCATAAATAAAATATTTTGCCAGCATTTTATTTATGCACCAAACACAATTACATAAAACTAAAGGTAAATCTAAAGGCTTAAAGCTTGCTATTATTTATTTATACATATTATTGATGGTTTCACAACACTTTTTTGTTTTGTTTAACATTTATGAAAATGTTTAGTTGAGCAATGGATTTTTTGGTAATCAATGATACATTAGGTAGCCAAAATAATAATTTACACTAACTCATATATCATTATATCACACGTTCCGAAACGGAATGTACAAGGATTAAAAAAATAAATAAAAATAAAATTGATTTACACTTTTCAAAAGACATGTCAACACACTTCAGCTCTTAGTGTTCCAAAACTCTTGTGTGTACACAGTTTTATAGACACAGCTGCAAACATGTCACTTGGTATTTTGTGGTCTCTGGAAAGACGCTGGATTCTGAAAAACTGAAATAGTGTTATTATTAAAGTACAATATTGATGCATTTATCAGCCAGCAATCCATTATTATTGACTGCACACGTTATATTTCACATACACTTCTCAAAATGCATATATCTAAACTATGAGTTGTTTGTTTTAGGGCACAAAATCTTACTCAATCTGGACAGAAAAAAAAACTTGGCTGGAGTTACACATTGCTGCAAAACCACACATCTGGAAACTGAGTATTTGATTCCCACCAGTGACTTCATTTCTTAGTCCGTGAACTCATTTCTTAAGAGGGCATGAGAGAGATCAAGACTAAAATGATAAAAAAGAAATTATTTTATTAGAATACAACACTTAACATGTATTTGCCATCCATTATTGGTCACGAATAGTTATTTTTAATAACTGTTATTAACTGACAGTCATGGTTTCAATTTATTCATGCTTTTTTACATAAAACGAGGAAAGATTGAATAACAACAAAAAGCAACAACAAAACTCAAACATTATTTTAAATCTTCCCAAAGACATCCTTGTTCAGATGTTCAGTTTTAATAACCACCCCTGTTTCCCCCCCAGCCTCCTCTGAATCCCCTCCCTCCATTTCCTCCTTCTCCGCCTCCTCTGTATCCACCAGACCCTCTGAATCCACCCCCACCAGACCCCCTGAAGCCA